CTAGGTCTATGTCCGCCTGTTCATGTCGGGCAATGTCCCCCCTGAGCTGGCCCACGTATTCCTGCATCCTCCTCGCGCGTTCAGTGGCCGCTCGCTCCCGGAAGGTTGCCTGTCGCGCCGCGGCAGACGCTTCCTTCTCGACGTGTTGCGCCATGGCAACAGCCTGAGCCGTCTTCTCCCGGATGACTACTTCCACCTTTTTACCCAGAGTTCTTGGCCTATTCTTCGGCAGCCTGCAGTGGGTGACGCATATGCAGTTCTTTTGTCGGCAATTCCCCCCGCGAGTTTCATCCTTTTTTCCACGGTGACCGCTTCGGCTCATTATTATGCCCCTTTCTCGCTCCGCTCAGCCTCCTTCAGAGACAGCTGAGCTGCCTCCGATGTCGCCCAGTAGCTCATCTGTGCCTGCTGTGGAAAATGTATCCTTTCTTGTTTCTTTCATTGTGTATCTGCCAGAGTGGGTTCTTGCATCTGAGAAATCATCTGGCCGCGGATTCTTTCCCCTCGCGGCATTCGCATCAGCTTTATTCTGCTGCTGAGCGAGAGCAAAACGCCGGCAATTATGTCGCGCCGTTCGCGCGCGATCTGGGCAGGGCCAAGTGACGCTGCAATGCGGACAGGCGCTTGGGCCCAAACCGCGAAAGGGGCGGAAACGCGGGCCGTCTGCCGCCCCAGCGTTGCCGTTTTTGTTTGTTTTGCCGCGGCGGGGCGTCGCGACCCCTGCCTTCAACTTGTCTCCACTAGGTGCCCCCTCGACTTCCTGCGTCGCGGGGCAAGTGCGAGCTCCTGCATGGCATCCAAATATATGGGTGACCTGCTTCAGCGAATCTCGCTCCGCGCTGATGTCGCCAAGTGCTCTCGGTCGCTTCAGTGGCGGGGTGTCCCAAATCGCATCTCTGACGTGCTCTGTCGGGGACACTGCGTCGCGCTGTCCCTCCCTGGACCGACGAGAACTCGGAACTGATGTTGCCCGGGTCCGTGATGGCTGAGACGCCGCGCTCGATGTGGCCGCCTTGAGCTGTTGGTCGAACCGCTGCCGAGGCTTCTCCCGGAGCTTGAACGAAGGGCCCATCAATGAGCGATCTTATCCTCCTCCTCCTCCTCCTCCTCCTCCTCCTCCTCCTCCTCCTTCTCCTCCTCCTCCTCCTCCTCCTCCTCCCTCCTCCTCATCCTCCTCATCCTCATCCTCATCCTCCCCCCATTCGCCCCCACGCGGGCCCCGCCCCCAGGGATGGGCCGATGAACGAAGGGTAGAACGTTCGGCTACTGCAGATTGTGCGTTCATATCCATCTGCGCATCGGACGCAGACGTTGCCATCTCGGTTGGCATCCACATTTTTGCCAGAGGAGCGGGGTCCCCGGCAAATGTGGAGCGCGAGAGGGATGCAGTGTACGTCTCCTTGCTGCTCTGGACTCGTCGTATCGGCATGGCGGAAATATCCGTTGAGCTGACGTGTGAAAGATCTGCGCGCGCGTGATGGGGGGGCGACGGCGCGGCGGCGACCCGGCGCGCCCCCTTTTCGCGCCCGCGCAGCTGGCCCGCGGTGCCATTTCGATCAAGATGGAGCGGCGGCGGCGGGCGGCGGCGGCGGGGCGGAGACGGCGGAGGAAGGCGCTGAACAACTGCCAACGCCGCCAAATGGGCGGACCCTGGCGGGCGGGCCCGGTCGGGCGGGCGGATCCTAACGGGCTGATTGGGTCGGGCGGGCGGGGCGTCGCAGCGCGATGCGTCGTCGAGTTAACGCGCGCGAATCTCATCGGACGGGCCGCGTCGGGCGGGCGGGCCCTGGCGGGCGGGTCGGGTCGGTCGGGCGGGCCCCGGCGCGCGGGCCCGCTGGCGGGCAGACCGTCGCGGGCGGGCCTGGTCGGGCGGGTAGGCCCGAAAGAGAGATCGGGCCAGGCGGGCTGGGCGTTGAAGTGCGACGCATCACGATGCAGCACGAGCGCGAGCCCTAGCGGGCGGGCCGCGACGGGCGGGCGGGCACCGACGGGCGGGTCGAATCGGACGGACGGACAATGGCGGCCAGGCCGGGCGGGACATCAAAATATGATGCCCCATCGGTTTAGCGAGCGCGAGCCCTTGCGGGCGGGTCGGGCGGACCCTGGTGGGCAGGTGCGATCGGGCGGGCGGGCCTGTCAGATATGACGCGCCATCGAGGTGGGCGCGAAACCTGACGGTCGGGCCAGGTCGGGCGGGCGGACCCTAGCGGGCGGGTCGGGCCAGGCGGGCGGGCCCTGGCGCGCGGGTTGGGCCAGGCGGGCGGGACATCAAACTATGGCGCATCATCGGGCTAAAGGCGGGTCGAGATGGGCGGGTGGACATTATCATCGTCATCGCCATCATCATCATCATCATCATCATCATCATCATCATCATCATCATCATCATCATCATCAGTATCATCATCAGCATCATCATCGTCGTCGTCATCCTCATCACCATTACAATCAGCGTCATCATCAGCATCATCGTCGCCATTCTCAACACCAGCAAGAGTCGCATCAGCCAGATCGGCATAGGGAGCAGCCTTTTAGCCAGTAGCATCGTGCGCATGTTCATCAAAATCGTCATCATGCCTACCTGCTACATCGCAATGATCATGGTCCTCAGCAGCAAAACCAACATAAATAATATTATCACCATCCTCACCATTATCGTCACCATCAACAGCCGCTTCGTCATCCTCACCATCGTCGTCGAAGCCGACGACGACGACGGAGACGACGACGATGGAATACTAAGTATCAAATCCTCGTCATCCTCATCATCCTCATCATCGTCATCCTCCTTCTCATCCTTAACATCATCACCATCACCACGACAATCATCATCATGAGCGTCATCCGCGCCCTCATCATTGTCCTCATCCTCAAAAGCATACTGTGATAAGTATCATCCTTCTCGTCCTCATCGCAATCACACTCATCCTCGTATGTATTTGTTCTCAGGTTCTTTATCATCAGCGTCATCATGGTCGTTCTTGTCGCCATCGCCATCGGCATCATCATCATCACCATCTTCACTGCCATCATCAACGTCACCACTAAAACCACCATCGTCATCCTCACCCGCACCATCGCGATCGAGATTCTTATCCCCCGCAATATCTTCATAGTCAACGAGGTCGTCATCATCATCATCATCATCAACATCATCAACAGAAGCGTCATCGTCATCATTATAATTCTTCTGAGCGTTATGATTGATTATGTAAGTATAGGTGCGATGGCTCTCAGCCGTGGAAGTATTATGAATCTTATTCGTTACATTATGATAACAGTGAGAAGCCCCAATCATAATCTATGGGCTATAGGGCTATGTGGCTACGTGGCTAAAGGGCTATAGGGCGATGGGGCTATGAGGCTCTAGGGCTGTTGGGCTATGGGGCTAGGGCTGAAGGGCTGTTAAGTTATTGGGCTATTGGACTATGGGGCTATGGGGCTATCGGGCTATAGGGCTGGAGGGCTAGAGGACTAGAGGGCTAGAGGGCTAGAAGGCTATAGCGCTGTAGGGCTATAGGGTTATAAAACTATGGGGCTGTAGGGCTATAGGGCTATGGGAAACCCGGGCACCCGGGCGGGCCGGCAAAATCGGCGGCGCAGCTACCCTAACCACATGAATCCGCTCGGTTCCCCACTGAGGCAAGCTCGGCTAGGGGAATTATTGATATTATTCTTATTCGCATCAGTGATTTCAGTATTAGTATCACTATTACGGATAATATCATTATTACTAATACCATCACCATCACCATTGTCATCATGGTCATCGTCATCGTTGTCCTCATCATCGTCACCGTCGTCGTCGGCGTGGTCCGTCGTCGTTTGCTGGCGGCGACGCGGTCGTCGTCGACGTCGGCATTCTCGTCGTTTGCCAGCGGCGGCGGCCTGGGGAGGGTCGGAACTTTGCACCCGCCCGAATTTGTTGCCGCTGGGGTGGGGGGCTTCCGACCCCCCCAAAAATAAATGTTCGAGGGAGGGGGGGAGGGGGAGAGTCCGGAGCGGGGAGGGGGTGTTTGAATGGGACGCACAGAGACATACATGCTCATACTATGTCCTCCTTGGAGGCGCGCGTCCAACCCGAACACACAATATACCCATCTTGTAGTATATCGTTTCCCGAGCGGTCTGGCAAGAAAGCGCCCGCCACGACGCATATACTATAAGATTTCTCGGTGCGCGCGTCGCCCCTGGGGGGCGACGCACATAAAGTATAAGTATGTTGGGGTGACACTCCTGCCAGCAGCGTCAGAAACCGCTCTCTTTCAGAGCTCTGCAGGAGGAGGAGGAGGAGTAGGAGGAGGAGTAGTAAGAGGAGGAGGAGGAGGAGGAAGGGGAGGAGGAGGAGGAGGAGGAGAAGGAAGAGGAGGAGGAGGAGGAGGAAGAAGAGGGGGGGGGCCGTCGTGGCAAAAACGAAGCGTCTATGTCATGGGTCTCTGTTCCTGCCGCTGCTGGTGGCAGCATCGATACGTGCAGCATGTCCTTGCGGTGTCTCGGGGCGCCCCCTGATTTCTGGACCGAGAAGGTCCAAGGAGTGAGACATGACCCAAGCACGACCCCAATGTGGCACAATACCAGATCGACTGTTGACTACGGAAAAGCCAGAAGCTGAGAACAAGCTGGACACACGTAGGTAGTCAGCAGGCACGCTGCCACACTTTAATCGGGTCGCGCTGCTGTCTATTAAACTCGTGTGCTCTGCATTCAGTGCAGCGCAGGCGCAGCGCATCGCATTACACTGCACGGCTAACTTTGCTTTTCGCAGCTCTGATCTGCGTTGCGTTGACATGATTGGCACCTGACTGACTTGCACTGATCTGCTTTGATGTTGCATCGGCTCGCCTTGATCTGCACTGCATTGCATGTCTTTGCTTCCACTTCCACCATCGGTTGAGCACTTGCCCCCCTGTGCGACGTGCAAGGCAAACGACTCCGATGGCCTCCACCCAAAAATCGTGGCAGCGGCGCGTGGATCTGACCACCACGCTCGGGCCGCCCGATCACGCCGAGCACTCTTCGGGGGTTGCGAAAAGTACCCCTGGCCCAGGGTGCCCCCGGCTTCTCGCTCCATGTTGGAGCTCCTGGGACCCTCTGGGTCTCGTGAAGGGTGTTCTGGAGGCCGTAGGGGCAGGATAACCAAGAATAGAATCGATAAATCGGATCGGCGATCGAGATGAATCGGATCGGCGGAAATCGGCAGCCGAGTCGGGAAAAGTCGAATCGGCGGAGAACGGCACGCTAGTAGGCCTCCAGTAAGGAATCGGAACCCAGATCGGAGTCGCAAGTCGAATCGGAATCGGAATCGCAAGCCATCGAAGACGACTCGAATCGAAGCGGAGGAATCGAAAGAAGCCCTGTGGGGGCCTCCTTCGCAAACCTGCGGGCAACTTGGGCCAGGGGCACTTCTGTTGAGCAGGGACCGACCGTCCTGGCATTCCTATAGGCCTACCACGACATGTTCTTAGAACCCAAAGCTGTTCTAAGAACAACAGAAACAATGTTCTTAGACCATAAACCCGATGTGCTAAAACAAGACAGTCCCAGCCTGAAATGTCCTAAGAACATGTCGTGGAAACCACAAACGGTTCTCAGAACATTGTGCCAGGTAGGCCTATACTTGCGCCAGGGCGCTTCGCCACCGCTCGAACTTGGGCCAGGGGCACTTCTGGCAGCACCCGACGGGGTGCACGACCACGCCAGGGCGGGGCCTCCGCGCGGACCTGCTGGGAGCGCGGCGCCCGGCCCGGGTGGCGGCCCGCCGCCGCGCCGTGCCGCCGCGGGGCTCACGTCGACTCCTCCGATGCGGCTCGGCTCGACTTCGAGGGCCTCCGACCCTGGCTCGATTCGCATCAGCTCGGAACTTCCGCCCTGCCACGCTCCAACAGGCGCCCGCCGCGGCGAGGCCGCCTCGACGTGGGCCGCGGCGCTCTTGCCGCGCTCCTCGATGCCGGCGGCGGCAGGTGCACGACCAGCCCGGGAAGTGGGCCTTGCCAGTGAGCCGAACAAGGCCGGTGGTTCGAAGATGGGGCCCTGAGGGATGGGGTCCTAAGGATAGGAACTGATCCACGGGCGGATTTACGTTGTTTGAGGCACCTCGTCCTTAGAGCCCCATCCCTCAGGACCCCGTGTTTGAACCACCGACTATGGCGGCACGACAGCCTTGCTCCAGGGCAAACTCGGCGACGCACACCCCATGGGCACCACGACGTTCTGCACCAGCTTCCACCCGATCCGCTCTGGGCGCGTACGACTTGCGGGACGTGCCGAACGGCAACGACACATCATCGCCCTGGGCCATGATGCAACGTTGAAGAGCAATCGCATCGACTGCGAGCAGTGCGATGGTGACCACCGCGAGCACCCCGACCGAGCCAGGCGCCCGTCGGCCCAGCCGCCGGCTGCCTCGAGGATGCGGCTGCCTCGCAGAGCTTGGCAGCGCTGGAAGAGGCGAGAAGGCCGATGCCTGCCGCTACGTTCCGCCTCGCTGCTCAACGTCCCTCTGACAGAGACTCGGGCACGTTGGCTTGCGACCCGGCACGTCCAACCTTTCCCGATGCGGGCCACCCCGCCGCGCCTGAAAGAGACCCCAATGGCAACTCTCGCAGAGCTCTTCCAAACTACCCCCTAGCGAGTACCCGCTGCGGTGCCGCTGACCTGACCTGCCCTGCCATTCCACGCCCCTCCCAGCGGCGGGCAGCGACCGACGAACAGATGGAGCTGGAGCTGCCTGCCCCGCCGCCACGCAGGCTCTGCCTACCGGATCCAACGCCAGCAGCCGCCTCCCCGGCGCTGGCCAGAACCGCGCCACACGCGCGTTGCCATGCAGGCCCGCGCGTAGGCCACATCCACACAGTCTCCGCCACCTCTCGCGCAGACCCACGCACCACGAGCCGAGCGGGAGCTCACGGGCATCGGCCGGTGGATTCAGTGTAAAAGTTGCCTGGAGTGCGCGCGCTGGTGCCGCATGCTTGGGCCCCAACGCCCTCAGAAGGAGGAGGAGGAGGATTATTTTCTCAAGTGCTTAAGGCAGCTCGTCCCACGTGGGCCATCGGACCACACCAGGGCCGCCTCGCCGCCCTCGCCTCCAGGAAGAGAAACCAAACCACACCACAGCACAGCCGAAAACCGCTGGCAAGCCTGCGCTGGATTGAGCCGCGCCATCGGATCTTGGGGGCGCGCACAGAGGGGCGGGGGGAAGGGGGAAGGCTTCTTAGAAGGAGGCTGCCTCTTAGAAGGCGCCGGCCTTACGTCTGCAGAGAAGGCCCGCGCCCTCTGAGAAGCAGGGGTGCTCCGAAGAAGGCTTCGCCCCTTCCACTACCCCCCTCCGCGCGTGGCTGAGGATCGGCTCACCAGCGAACCGTCCCGCATCGAGCCGAGAGCGGATCGCCGCACCTCGAGGAAGAAGCAACGCCGTGAACAGAAACTTTTGGCGCTCCGCGCGGATCTCTTGGACCCGCGCTGGACGCCCCTCCCTGGCGCGCGGACCTCGCCAGGGGCGGCGCCGGAGGCGCCGACCGGGGCGCCCAGCGCAGATCCAAGCAGCCAGCGCGGAGCGCCAAAAGCTTATGTTTATGGCGTTGTTTCTTCTTCGAGCGCCTGGCTCCGCATGGCCCTGGGCGATACAGTCGGGGCGTTGACCTAAGGAACCCTAACTGAGGAACGGGGCCCCTTTTTCCCAGGAGTCAAACTTCGATTCCCCATCGAATACCCAAGGACAACCTGAGGCAAGCTGCGCAACAACGAAGGAACACGGAGCCCCTCCCCAACGAACAGGGGTTCCTTGTTTGAAGGGCGCCCAGGACACACAAATAACAAATAAAAATATTCTCCATATTTTCCCATATGTTCTGGGTTTCTGTCTTCCCCCCCACTTCCCATATTTTCCCATATTTTCTGGGGAATCGACGATTAATTGTGTCTGTGTGTTTCTTTCCCTCCTGATTGTTCGGCGCCCCGACCGTCTGCCGGCGAGTCGCACCGCAACGGCGGGACCAGCCAGCGAGGCGAGCCGCACAGCAGCGGGCCGCGGGCGGCCCCGGCGGGGCTGGGCGGGCGGGCGGCCAGCGAGCGCACACCCCGCCCCACGGAGCTCGGCGGCGTGGCCCCCGAGCCGCAGCCCGGGGCCCAGAGTCGGGGAGACGCAAGACCCGGGTACGGGGGACTCGGAAATCCCCGACGAGGTCGTCAAAAAAATGACGAGGCCGAGCCTGCATTTTGACGAGGCCTCCCGCTGCAGACATCCCACGAAACTCCTCCTCGTCAAAATCCGAGGCGCAGTCGTCAAAAAACGATGGCGAACCCGAGTCCCGGCAAACCCGGGTCTTACGCTCCCCCGACAGAGATGGGTCAGCATCGAATCGTGAAATCGGGGTCGAATCAAAATGGTGAGCGTTTTTTGTTCCGCGTTTCGGCATCGGGAGGGAACGACGGGGGGGAGGAGGGGGGGGGGGGTCTGGCTCCGGCCCTCTGCTTCGTGCGACTGTTTGCAGCAGTGCGTCCTATGGGTAGAGACTCCACCCGCTCGAAACAGGCGCCCCAAAACAGCCAAGATCTACTCCACGGGGGAGGGGAAGGGGGGGGGTGCGAGGGCCCGCGCCGATCGGCAAAACAACGAATAACAAGAACGATCGCATTTTCGTCCAGCGGGGGCCCGACCACAAGAAACCTTCGCCAAGAAACCCAACCCTGAGACTTCAGGACGTGCATTGATGTTTGGTGTGGGCACGTCACGCCTTCCATGGCAACACCATCGAACCCCAAGAAACGCAGGGCACCCTGGAGGCAAGCAGGGTGTTCCTTGGCATGGGCCTCCGCTGTAGGATCGGGGCCGCATCAGCACGGGGTCGAAATCGAATTGTATCGGCCGCGCCAAGGTGCACAGCACCGCCACGCACTCATCGGGCCGCATCTGATCGCAGGGATGTCGGAATCGAATCGGATCGGGCCAACCAGCGTCGATGTCGAATCGGATCGATCGGATCGAAAAGGACTCTGCAAGGCCACCCCTCCCCCTATCCCGAGGTTCCCTGAGACGCGGCGCCGTCCTCGGCGCTCTCCAAGGCGTCCAAGATGCCGAATGATGTCTTCCGAGACGGCCACGGTGAGCCTTCGAGGACACCAAGATGGCCCCAGATGCACCCAAGACGGACCGGTGTAGCCCCAAGACTGCCCAAGGTGGCCTCAAGATTGCCCGCGAGGCTCTCAAGACCCAGGAGGGCTCGAAGGGGGAGGGGGGGCGATCCTATAAGCATCGGAAGTAAGACCGTTAGGGCCCCCTCACGCTGACCAAATAGACCACTCCTCATGTGATCTGGACGTTGTTGTGCGGGACGGCGCCGGACCCAAGAGAACCCCCAGCCGAAGAAGCCCCAGGAGGCCCTCCCAAACCGGCCGCCCAAGGAGCCCCCAAACCAAAGAGCCCCAATACCTTCCTTTACTCTGGATCTCAAGTGCTCCCCAATCGTCTCCACACCACTTCGGTAAATGAAGGTCAACCGTGCCGCGCGTGTCCACAAAGGCAAGGGCGGCGGTGATTGGCCATAAGCGTCTCAGGTATATACACCACAAAATACGCTTGCAAACAAAACAAAACGACCAACACACAACCGCACGACAACCACCGAATAACCACGGGACATCCCCATAATAACCGCAGGGACGACAACTGAGCAGCCACGGGATATCCGCATAGGGCAATCACAGGACAAGCGTGGAACATCCGACGAGTCATCACGGGGGCTTCGAGAGGGGAACAAATTTAGGAATTGCCCCTAGATGCACAATCTACGTATGTTCATCGCCTATCGCCCACTCGCGCAAGATCGCCTGGCCCGCACCAACGGCACGAGACGAATCGAGTCGAAACCGCTTTCTCGATCAGTCACACTCTCACGCCTCCAATCTCTGCTGGGCGTACGCATGACGCCCTGCCTGACTCCCTCTGAGGACGCCTTTCACATCGCCGACACAAGAGTCCTGATGGCGAGCACCTCGAGATGACCCCCCAGCGGAAACGAGGGGGGGGGGCGCAGGGGTAGAACATGTATATCAAACGGCAAAGCATGTGGGGTTAGCGCCGTTCACCAGCGGATCGTCTCCGAGCAGTCATCATAACCATATGCGAACACGATCTGCCCCTGCAACATCGTAAAACTGCCGCTCCCTGTGCCTCAACCTCCACGGCACACACACACACACACGCACACGCACGCACACGCGCACATACGCACACGCGCACGCGCACGCGCACGCGCACGCGCACGCACACGCACACGCACACGCACGCGCTCACGCACGCGCACGCGCACGCGCACGCGCACGCGCACGCGCACGCGCACGCGCACGCGCACACGCACACGTACACGCAGACGCAGACGCAGACGCAGACGCAGACGCAGACGCACGCGCACGCACACGCGCACGCGCACGCGCACGCGCACGCGCACGCGCACGCGCACGCGCACGCGCACGCGCACGCGCACGCGCACGCGCACGCGCACGCGCACGCGTACGAGCACGCGCACGCGCACGCGTACACGCAGACGCAGACGCAGACGCAGACGCAGACGCACACGCACACGCACGCGCACGCGCACGCGCACGCGCACGCGCACGCGCACGCGCACGCGCACGCGCACACGCACACGTACACGCACACGCACACGGACACGCAGCCGCAGACGCAAACGCAGACGCAGACGACGACGCAGACGCAGACGCAGACGCAGACGCAGACGCAGACGCAGACGCAGACGCAGACGCAGACGCAGACGCAGACGCACAAGCACACGCGCGCGCACGCGCACGCACGCACGCACACACACACACAAGTGCCGGAATCCTTGGATGAGAACCCCTATGAGGGAGTATGCACCACCGTGCTTGCAACACCAGACCAGCCTCAAGACCTGTGCCGCTCCTGGGGCTAATCGCTGCCGGTGCGAAGATTCTTTCAGATCAATGTCGCGTTGGATTGGGAACAGAAACGACAAGATCTGAAAACGCTTAGTGCAGGAGGCGGGAAGGCCCTACCCCCACGACGCCAAGGGGTATCGCGTTAGGGGGAGACCAGATCGGGGGTGGGGCCAATACCGACATGGAATTGGCGATACATCGCCGATAGACCTGCGCCCCCTCTGGAGTCTACTGTCCCCTCCCGACGTTGCCCCCGAGGGGAATGGGAGAGGAGAGAGGAAGATGCCGAAGGCGCTCAGGGCGGTGCTGGCGGTCGCGGCGGCGACGACCAGGGGAGAGCAGTGAGGATGAAGACGGCAAGGCGGCCGACAGCGGCAGGACGATGCGGGCCGCAACGGGGCCGCCTGCGACGGAGAACTTTCGGCTGCGTGTCTCCTGGGGGGGGCGCCGGGCACTGCTTGGCGAAGGCGGCGGCAGACCTGCGATGAGCGTCGATGCACCAGCCTTTGTCGCTTCACCTGTCGGCGCCCGCTTCGACGTCGTCCACTGTACCACAGGAGGGCCACCCCCCCGCCCAGTCCTTCCCTTTCTCTCTATCTCTCCATCTCGCTCGAGTGCTCTCTCTATCCCTCTCGCTCTCCCTCCCTCTCTCTCTCTCTCCCTCTTGCGCGCTCTCTTTCTCTCTTTCTCCCTCGTTCTCTCTCTCTCTCTCTCGCTCCCTTCCACCTTTTTCTCCCTGGGCTCTCTCTCCCATCACTCTTCCTAGGTGCTGGCGACTTTTGTGGGCCAACAAAACAGAACATGAGAACAACGAGCCCGAAAGCAAATGCGGGCGAGCGGGCTGGCGATCCGTCGGGAGGGGTTGCTCTTACGTGCCTTCACAGAACACATGGGGGTCCATCAGCGACGCTGGGCTGTGTTCCTCCGGGCCCTTCTTAAGCAAGGAAATAAGTAGACGCCCTTTTTCCAACTGGCCACCCGCCAACTCCCCCTCGTGGCCATCAGGTTCGGTCGAGCGGATCGTTCGAGCATCGCGAATACAGCACGCTTCGCTCTGGAGCCTCCTCACAATCTAATCGCCACCTGCTCGCTATCCGCATGCCAGTTTGCTCGACAATGGATTGCGGGAGGTCCACCTGGTATGTGTGTACCTTCAGCGTTGCCGCTACAGTGCAATGGGCGACAACGATGGTCGCCAAATTTTCCCGCCCGATTTCCGAATCTCGGACAATGCGCCCTGGATCTCGGTTGCGCGCCTGACGAACCAAAACGCATGGTATGAGGGGCACTTCCGGTTCAGTGTGGTTCCACAGCCTTCCCACTTCCTCTATCAGACAGTAGTCTGCTCCCTTTGCTACTCGCGGGGGGTATGGAAACGGCGTGCCCAGGGCATGCACTATCAGATACATCAACACAAATTAACTGTCCTTGGGGGGCACAACCCGATGAGTCTCTTCACTCCCGTCGTCCCCCGTGGCCGGGCCCAACATTGCAGATTCAAGGGGGGATTTGGCAGGGTGCCTGCGCTCATCCGAGGGGTATCCGAGCGGCCATTTCCATTGACGACGGCTTCATAATCGCCCAAGAGAGACCTAGGACTTCGCCAGGACAACCAAAAACGATTCGAGACAATAGAAGACATACACGGAAGCCCCAAATTGCACTCGAGCTCTATAGAGATGCCGAAACATTCAGTTCCAAATCCTATCCAAGAGGCCGCCAAAATAACACTGGGGTGACAGGGCGGCCAGAGAGCCCCTGAAAACCCGGAGTAATGCCAAGGGGGCACCAGAAACCCCCAAGACTCAACACGGCCACACGAGGGCTACCACGCAGCCCAACAAGACCCCCTGAACAACTTTCCCCAGATAAAGAGAGATAGAGAGAGAGAGAGAAACGTGTCGATACTTGTCCCGACGGGCACAGCCGTCATCCAGCACACAAATTTCCCACGCGGTCCCCTGCTCTTGTGCTCCTGTAGCAATCATCTGCATCAACTCGTCCTCCTGCCTTGGAACCGCGACGTCACAAAACGCACGATCACCTGTCAACGATGGCGCCAGCACACTACACCGCGCCAGCCCGGAATCACGCGAAGGCGCAACCGCGAAAGGCGAGTCCGCGCACGAAGCCGCAGCTCGATGTTTCGCGCTGGAACCATTCTGCAATTCTCTGCGCCGTCATCCGAGGGCGGAACGGAGCGCGCCGCGTCTGGGCGAAGGGCCCGACTGGCAAGGGACAGAGCGCGTGGGCCGCAACCCCGACGTGGCGCTCCTCTGAGCGAAGTGCGATCCCCGTGGCTCAGAATTTGTTGGCGACGCTGCACAACATTACCTGGGCTCCTGCTGATGAACAACGCGTCGGACACCATCAAAACCGAGACATGCGTGTCTCCTTTGCGACTTCATTGAACGTTCTTGCTCCCGCTCTGCAATACTATTTGACCGCGTGCTCGAAGACGATTGCTGTATTATTCGCGCACATGTGCTTGTCGCTCTCGTTTGTGTGACGCTCCAACACCACATGCTTAGGTCTACCGTATTCGGCTCAACTTCTCCTGCTGGTCATCCGACCCAATCCGTCCATGGCTTGATGCAATCGTCCGAGGGCTCGTCTGTATAGCTTGTCTCCTCCAATTCCCCCATGTCATGCGCATCGCGTCTTGCCTGGCAATTCATATTTTGCAGTGCCTTGCGTTGGACTGGTCCTTCGCCAAATCGCTGCTCCGCATGGCACCGTCTTCGCCAAAGCGTCGAAAAAGTCTATATGTCAGTGCAGTTAATAGTTTCGCGACCTCGCAATTACGCAGCATGTCTTCCTATCTTGCCGGCATCCACCTGTTTAGTTCAATGTCGTCGGGATCGGCGGGAAGAATGGGCGCACGAGGTATTCGACGCTGCCGCTGAAAAGCGTGGATTCGATCTCCAAGCCACACGCATCGCATGAGTTTGCGCGATGTCTTCCTTGTCCTCCCCGCGAAATACCTCAACACCCTCGCCTTATTCACTCCTGGATGCAACGAACACCCCCTTGGGCAGAAACGGCACTGAACAAATCAACCGACGCTTGCACCAATTCCTAATAGACTCTACTCGATGGACATCACGTCGTCCGCAACACCGCAAGCTGACTACAAAAATGATGCACGTAAGGACATTTGACATCCTAGAACATGTCCTCAAATACCGCGTCGGGGAATACTATCCTCATGGGGTTACCTTGTTCTGTGCCCCGTCGAGCATGATATTGATTTGTTCTCAGCCGCTCCAAACTCTGACAAATGGTCCTTCGTGCGTACAAGGTACCAACCAGAAGATAATAACAGGTATCCCTTGCCGTTCGCGTCCCAAAAGCAATCGGTTCAACGCTGTTGAAAACACTCTCGAACGCAGATTCTGCGGAACATCGTTGGGATTCAACTCCTAAGATATTCTTGTAGCTACGCAACTGTCCGCAAACGATATGCCCGTCCCAGAACCTGGCTTCATCATGCGCTTCGTTGTTGTCCGAAAGTGGCTCGAATCTCTGGATTACTGGCCGTGTAAACAGTTGGCACAATCTTGGGATTATAACGAGTGGCCTGTAATTGGCGGGGAGTGCCAAGCCACCTGGCCTGAAGATCACCGGTGCAATTGATTTCGTTCAATGTACTGGCGTCGCATCTGGGTTGCCCAACATAGGCTGGAAGAGCTCACGCTACACTCGCAACAGCTCGCCCTCACCATCTTTGACTGTTCCATAGTGTTTTGCACCTTCCGCGTCGTGAGCGTCGACCTGCATCAACGAACCTTCTCTTCGAGAATGGTTGAATATCTTCACAACCTGAAGTAGTCGTCGCTTCCGTGGGCACGCTTGCTGGTGTCCAGGCGTGTACAGCTCAGAAAAGAAATCGGCAATGCGTTGACAGTCCCTATGATCCGCACCTGTGCAACCCAACATGAAATTTGTGAATCGGCGTTTTCGCATACCTGTTTTCCAACGTTTTCTTCACAATATGTCGCTCGATCGTGCTATTGCTGCTGGGCGACCGTTGCATTACTAACGAGGCAATCTCCGTACTTCCATACTGACTGTTTCGCTGATGCTTGACCGCTCGCCAGAATCATGAACTAAGTCGACGAAGCTTACGATGCTCAAGAACAAGCTGGAGAATAGCAATGGCTGGGCAACCTTTGGCATTCTACGAATTCGTCTGGGGACGAGAGGAGCCCGGACTCGTTGCGGACGATGTCGGCATGGGCGTCCACTGTGCGCTGAAGGAGCGCGCGCGGGATGTCACCAACCCGGTGACGTGTAAAGTTTCGTGCTCGTCACTAGGAGGATCACGGTGGGAACTGGCAGAGAGGCTGAATGGCGATCTAGACGAATACGTCATGCATTGCTGCTCGAATCTAAAAGCCAGTCCTCGATGCGTTCGAAGTCTCCGACGCTCTGGGCCTTCACGAGACACGATACCCGTTGCCATGCCCGCGCCAACCGCAGCGACCATACTGCGGAGGTCCTCGATGGGCCCGAGCGTAATCACGAGAGGCGGTCAACATTGGCTGATGGCGTGACGCCCAAAGGTTGGTTGACGGAGCCCTGCTTGAGCAGGGACCGACCGCCCCGGCATTCCTATATATATATAGCCCTACCACGACATGTTCCTAGAACCCAAGAACTTTCTAAGAGCAAGAACAGTGTTCTTAGAACATCAACCCGACGCGATCAAACAGGACAGACTCCGCCATAAAAGTTCTAAGAACATTTCGTGGAAACCGCGAAGAGCATTCTTTGGTGGGCCTATAGTCGGGCTGGGCGAAAGGGGGGGATAGCAAAGGGGGGGTTTGAGAATCAGCTCACGTAATTAGCTGATTTTCCTGGCGCCTCCCGGCGCCGGAGGGAGCTATTTATCGAGGAATGGGCCCCTCGGTGAGGCCGAAACCAGCTGCACGCAGCAAATTTCGTAACCTCCCCTTTCCCAATCCCCCCCTTTCGTTCGGCCCGAAAGAGGGGCCACGTCGACGGCCCAGGAAGCCCCCCACCCCCAGCTGGCCTAAGAGTCTCCTAATGGGCATCGTTCAACCAACCGCTATCCCCATGAACGTGGCCGGGGCCCCAGCGGCCGATTGACCCCCCCTGGATGGGTAGATGGGGATATAGGCCGCTCCCTTCGGGTTTCGAGGTGTGCGTCCCCAACTGGGGTGCATGGATGCTGGGGGTCTCGATGGGGATGGGGATGGGGATGGGATGGGTTAACCGATACTGACCTCAGGCGGCGCAGGATGCTCCTAATGAAGCCGCAGGAGCCCCCCTCGAAGTTCCCCCAGAGGCCACGGGACCTCGTTGTCTCCTGAAGCAGTCCACAAACTGCAGAACAGGGCACGACCTAAACAATGATTTTCGTTTCAATTTTGCGTTCGTTTTCCCTCGTTTTGTCTTCAACCCGCCTTGACCGCAAAACGAAATCGAAACGAAAACGCCCCACGAAATCGCCAAACCACCGTTAAGGTCAACAGACTGCAAAAACTCCGATACGACGACCAAGCATACGCCGGCCATCGAGGGACCCGAGATGCGCGCAAGAGCCTAGTTAGGGGGCCATATGCGAACCCTACACCTACCCGTCACGATTTCTGAGGGAGAGGGTGGGGTTCACTTCGTTCGAGAGCTCCCGAGCGAAGTGAACACCACCCTCCCCCTCAGAAATCGTGGGGGGTGGGAGTGGGGGTAAGGTTGGCATGTGGTCCCCTACTAGTGTCCGAGAGGCGAACACGCGGAGACTTGTCAGATGAGCAAGAACAGTGAAAAGGACTTTTGAATCACCTCGACCAGCTGCCATATCACACAAGACCTGGACAGAAGCCACCAGACCAAATCAGACTGCACGGCAAGCGACCAGAACGGAACGCGACGCCGACCGATGGTGGGCTGGTGGGTACCCGAGAAGCGTATAGGGGGCCACATGCGAACCCTACCCCTACCCCCACGATTTCTGAGGGGGAGGGTGGGAGCTCCCGAACGGAGCGAACCCCACCCTCCCCCTCAGAACTCGTGGGGGGTAGAGGTGGGGCTCGCATGTGGCACCCTAGCGTACAGAATCGCCTGTCCACTTTATCAGAAGAAGACAAATACATCAACAGAAACTTTCGGAGATCCGTGCTGATTTATTGGATCAGCGGTGGGCGCCCCTCCCAGGCCGCGCCGAACGCGCAAAGGGCGGCGCTGGAGGCGCCGCCAGGGGGGTGCCCGGTGCTGACCCAAGAATCTGCTTAGAACTCCGACAGTTTATGTTTATGCACTCTTTCCTTCGCACCCAAGGGGAAGAGGGAGGGGGAGAAAGACGTCTTAGCAAAAAACACTTGACAATCAGACGAAACCAGACAGGACCAAACCGGACCAGGGCACTTCGGGGATCTCTGAGATCTGGCGTTGTGGATGCCATGACAATGGACACCCTAACAATCCCATCATTGAATTTAAAATGAGTTTAAGCTGTCCGGAACATATCTTAAACATGTTTCAATCCTAAGTGTTTTTTTATTTGTTTAAGACATGTGTTAAACATGTGTGGACATCTGGAAACTGTTTGGCAACATGCTTCCTCTCCATTGATCGTCGTCCACACGTCTGGCGGTTCTTGAGGATGTACCGGCGCCGCGGCCGTTCCGTACCGCTCTGGAGCGCTCCCGATGTCGGGGTCAGGGGCATCTCGCCCGCAGACTCGTGGAGGCTTGAAGGCCAAGGCTGGCTGGAGGCCCGTAGGGCGATGGAGCCGCAGTTCGAAACGAAGATGAGCGTTGCCAAAACGCTCTGGGACGATCCATCCGGGCCCTGGCCCTGCCCCATTCTGGCCCCGAGAGAGGCGGGGCGGCGGCGGAGGTCCTCGGCGACAGCCCCGACACCACCTTCAAGTTCGCCCGGATCGGCGGCTTCTCTCCGCCGACGAGCTCCTCGCGCCAGGCAAGGGGGCGCTCCCCCCCAGGCCTCCGACAGACCCCCCTCCTTCGACTTCGCCTGCTCCCGCTCCTCCCTCTCCGTCTGAACCAAACTCCTCCTCCACGCCCACCTCCACCTCCTCCTCCACGCCACTCTCCTTCTCCTCCTCCTCCACCTCCTTTTCTCCTCCCTTCCTCCTCCTCCTCCTCCTCCTCCTCCTCCTCCTCCTCCTCCGCCGCCTCTCGCGAGGTGGGAGTGGCGGTGGAAAGGGCGGCGGGGGGGGGGGGGAGAGAAGAGAGAGGGCGCGGCCGCCGCCGCGGCGCATGCGACGAAGGGGGGGGGGCGAGGCTGGCGAGGAGGGCGAGGGGGAGCACGGACCCCCTCCTGGGACGAGGCTGGCCAAGAGGACGGAGAAGAGGAGGGCGAGGAGAGCGAGAATGGAGAGGAGGAGGGGGAGGGGAAGAAGGGAAGGAGGGAGAGGGGAAGAAGGGGAAGATGGAGAGGACGGAGGAGAGGATGGCGAGGAGAGCGAGAATGGAGAGCGAGGGGGAGGAGGCGAGGAGGGGAAGAAGGGGAGCACTGGAACCACGAGGAGTGGGGGAGGACGATTACAAGCGAGGAGAGCGAGAATGGAGAGGAGAGGGGGAGGAGGCGACCTCCCTCCCTCCCTCCCTCTCTCCCTCTCCTCCTCCTCCTCCTCCTCCTCCTCCATCGCAGGTGCAGGCCGATGGGACACCAAACCAAACCAGGACAGGAGGTTTGAGGAAAGCGGAGGAGATCACTACATCTTCTACTTTATACACTTGTGGATTGATGGCCCTCCCTTGGCGTTGATTTGTTCTTGGGGTATGTGCACAGTCCAGGGCTTTGTCTGCTGGGACTTCCAGGCTTGAGGCTGCTGCTGCCGCCGCTGCCCTGTCCTCTCCGAGATTGCATCGTCTTCCGTGTGACCTAGTCTAGGCCTAAATTGACGGTGCGTCCCTCGTACTTACCCCAAACGCCGGTGCGACGGTTCCCCAGGGCCCGAGCTGTGCCTGTTGGAGGCTGTCTGGG